TWRAWWAAYRRMTRWWTMWATGRAWWGKWYKAWKRRAYGGATGRATGGATGGATGAGTGAATGAATAAATGGAGGGGAAGTGGTAATGAATGAATGGAAGGAAGGATAGAATAAATGAAAAGTTCCAGCTATAATCCTACCTGTAAGAAATAATATTGATAAAAGTCACATCTTTCTGGTAACATGGACTAAGATAAATATCATCGGCTTTAACGAAACGCACTTCAACTAAAATCAAATTTAATAAATTATATATATTGTAAGGTTAGTTAGCCTGCAAAACATATAAGGTTGACAAAAAAATTTATAACAACCACATTTACATTAGCATAATCGTGCCTTTCATGGTTTCCTGCGTCACCTTGAAATGTAACATATGCCTTTATTTGCATCATTAGCAAAACCATCATTGAATGTATACAGAGATAGAAACCTTCCTTGTTTACAACTCGACAGTTGCCTTGCTTCAATGCAAAGCCACATTTACATTTCAAGATGTCGAAGTCCATAATATGTAAAAACTTTACAAGTTAAAGGCACAGAAAGACGAGTCAGCCTGTCAATGACCAGTTGAAATTTCAGTTTGAAAGGCAATATCTTTGTGTAATCTGGATGCTTTTTTCTTTTACAGATCAAACATCAGCTTCTGCAGAAATTGCATCCGCCTGCTCATCTGTTGTTACTTTGTTGCCTTGTTTTACCTGGAAAATGGACATTAAAACCACTATGCTCTGTCCAGTCTCTTAGACGGCGAAGGACATAGGGTGTTTTCTTTCTAAAAATTCAAAAGATCAATAGAAATTAAACGTAGATCATCATCATCATCAGTCAACCGTAGATAGCTCACATTACTGCAGAACATTTGAAGAATTACTTGAAGTCAAGACTTTCCGGTAAACCTATTATTTTTGCCTGAAAGCCTAATGACTTCAAACCTTAAAATCATTTGCATTTTTATACATTATGTAACAGTTATACAGTTATAGGAGCTTTACTAGCTACAGTAACAGCACAAATAAGTCTAATACTAACCTCTCAATTGCCCATTCAGTTACATGTTGCTTAAATAAGCAATTAAAATTGAAGATCTGAAAAAAGAAAAACACAGGAATGATGTAAACAAAGATTTAAAGTAAAAATATTCTGATATTTGTTAGTAATTTACTTTTTAACATCCTAAAAATGCTTCATAAATAAATGATGATGACAAATAAATCAAGTTGTTTTAATGAGTTTAAAGCTGAAAAGTAATGCCTATCAACACAGCCATACAGTACAGAACAAATTGGAGTGGGATTGTTGTTTTGTAGTGTAGTAGCTATAAGTACACTTACAGTAGTTAGTAGCCAATCAGATTTTTAAAAATGCAACACAATGAATGTGTAACTTTATGAAATCATACCTTATAGCTTTTATCAATTCTTTCTCGYGGTTCTTCACAAAATACTCGAAAATACAGCCTATTTATGACTGGAACCAGACTGGACAAGAAAGAACTGAAATGGCAAATTTAATAAAATATTGATCCTGACGAAATATAGTTTGTAAAACAGTGCAGGTGATTAAATATTTTCAGACTGACTCAGTACTGCCTTTATGTTAACTCTTTGACTGACAGTCTACTGTTTGACTGACTGACAAGTTGTCTGATTAATGGACTATCTGGACATTTGAATGACTAACAAACTTAGAATTTCTTTGTACGCTGGCATAATTACTAAAAATAAATTAATCCTCTGTGTTTACTCCATTTCATTTCATTCCATTTCATTTTACATTTTATCTATTGTAATTAGCTCGCGCTGTATTGCCGTGTTTCCTCGCGCGCTTTCCGTTTTAAAATATCTTACGTGTATTCTACCTTGATAATGGCCGCTTAGGACGAAAGCTCAGTATCAAAAATATCACTAGTAAACGCAGAGGATTCATTTATTTCTAGTGACTAAGAAACTGCCTGGTCAAATGACTGTCTGACAAGGTCATTGCCTGTCAAGTTTTCACTGCATGAGCAGCAGAATGGACAATGGTACTCATGTATGACTTACTRCTATCCTATCTGCTCTGGGTAGGAAACCACACGGCTCCTTCAAACAGTGTGCTTACCACTCAAAATCATACTTGAATAACTGAGTGAAGATGCCTATAACTACCAAAATGTACAACTGACTGACAAAAAATATTCACCTTAGCCAGTAAAGAAATTCTAAAAGATAAAAGCCAAAAAACCAGTCCTTCCACCAACTTGACCTAGGCTTTACTGAAGCCTAATAAAAAAATAATTGTCAATATTATAACATACACGCACACAAACAGCACATGTCAATAGGACATAGCTTGCATGATGATAGACTACATTTCGTTTTAGCAAATCCACATTGGAGTTGGAAATCTGTCAAGATGAAAAGTCATCACCAGAATGACAAACTCATTTGATTAAATCTAGTGAGTGAAGAGCTTTAATGACATGGCATTTTAATTTGCCAATCAAACTTTTCTGGCAAAATTATTTGGCTATCTTTAACTAGACAATAGACCTTTGAACGTTTTACGTCACTACTTGATTTTCAATGCACTGTGGGATCAATTTCAAGAGAAAACAAAAGAAATCCGTCACATTCTGTCCCAAACATATCCTACAATGCATTGCGTATACGGTACATGATGTAAAAGCTGCAGAGGTCTATTAAGTATCTGATGAGTGAATCTATTAACCTCAATTTTTTCCCGATTTAAAGCTTAGATCCACAAAAAGGTTTAACCTTATAAAGTGCAAAACTGAGGCTTATATTCAATACCTTGGTTGTTCTGTTTAAATATGTTGCATTAACCATGTTAGTATGAGGATACCACATAAACTTAAAATGTTCACAACAAGAAATTTCTTTGTCAAGTTTTTCAAGCATCTGAAAAGCAAGACAGTGTAGTTATAGGGACCAACCATTAATAATTAATATTATGCCTCAAAAGAAATGGTTGTAATGGTATGTGGAAAGGGATGTTGGTAAATATGATTGTCAGATGAGAGAACTGGTGAATGTTATACAATGACAAGAGGATTAAAGGGCTACTTGGACAAAAATTTCGAATCATTAGAAAAGACTTGGAAATCAAATAGACCTATCCATATGGGTTTAATAATCATGAAGCAGCAGATTTCAAGAAAATATTCATGCAAATCCTTGATAATTTGGACAAAAAACGTTGTAGTAGATGACGTCATTTACTCCATCCTTTTGTTCTTCCATATTTTGAATCAAATTTATCTGATGTGGGATAATTCCAAAACAAATATTTTCCGGCAATTGTTTTTAATAGATATCAATGAGTCATATTTGTATTGCTTGAAGTTTTGAAATAAGGCCATTTTCATGCAGGTAGCACTTTAAAGTATGAAGAAAGGAAGAAGAGAGAGGCAGAAGATAACACAAAACATTGTTTTCACTATTTGCATATTTATATTGTTATCATCATTATTATTCTGACAAAAAAAGGAGTTCATTGCTACCTCATCTAGATGACATGAATCAGTTTTCTCATGAAGATTAAACGCAAGTTCGCAYTGCCATGTGATTGACAATATAATTCCCAGTGCACCCAAACCGCATAATGTTGACTTGAAAATATCTTGATTTTCAGTTTGACTGCATTCAATAATTCTCCCATCTGCCGTCATAAGCTCAAGGCTCACAACCTGAAAATGACAGTATTAAACTATTATATCRCTATTTTTAAAAAGGTTGTCGGATAAAAAGCCAAATGTCAATGGTCAACTGGTGATTGCATGATCGTAAAGCCATAGATTTTGCTAGCTGAAAGGAAATATCAACTGATTTGTAACTGTAAGATGGTCTATGGTGAACATTGGCTCCACTTATAGTCACCATTTCTATATTAAGGTGAATCCAATTAATGAAATTTTGTTTAAAAGGGGGTACTCCCTAATAAAAAAGGGTTGGGATCCTCGTCGCAAATTCTGAAAATGACCCCTAAAAGGCAGGGCTCAAAATAATGGATGGTCTGCAGTGACCGGACATGATGACCATTCAAATACAATTTTGACCAGACACGTTCCAGTTTTGACCGGACAAAATTGAAGAAAAAAGTGAAGCTTAAAAACTTGAATTAAAACATATATTATTCATTCATAAAGCATAGTTTATTGCATTAAAATTGAATTAAAAGACAAAAAAGAACAAAAACCTTTCATTTGTATGAATAAAAATTTAGCATGTTCACACTGCATTTTCAGCAGCGTGAAAATCCTTCATAAAAATGAAGAAAAAAATAAAAAATAAAAGAATATATTATGTGCTTTCGAGGTAAGGCAAATAAGATCTCGAAACTGGAGTAATTCCAAAACAGATATTTTACAGTACCAATGTTGCCAGTAGACCATAATTAGCACCTGATCCATGGACACATGTTGATATCACTCCGCCACATGTGAAGTCAGACAAAGCACCAAGACTGAAAGTTAAATAATATATATTKCAAGGCTAATGTATATATTAATAGTTGCTTAACAAAGGCTTGACACAGGRGACCAGTGTGGGGATTGAATCCYGCTGTTCTTCTCCCTTCTCCCTCCCCCTATGATGCTATAACTTTTGAGCATTTTGAAAGCCTGACRTACTTTGAAAATCCAAGACCATAAGAGTCTAGAATACCATGAAGATCTGAAAGCATTAGCCCTGCCTGGACTGTRATCTGCTTTCTCTCTGTATCAACCTATCAAAGAAGAAACATTTGAGCTTTATGAATGGATAAATGAATGAACACAGATGAGAATATGGATGGATAGGCGAGAGGAAGATAAATGGATGAAACAATAATAAAAAATTGCTCATAAACATATTTTATCGATACATCTATCTATCTATGTTTWTTAATCAGCAACGCTTCGCATCAAGCCGATATACATTTACAAATATAAATATTCTAATTACATGTATATAAAAATTAATCTAAAATATCAATTTACAAATATAAATATGTATGAATGCATGAAATGAATAATAATTAACAGATAAATGAATGAAAGAAATACTTACATTCAAAACATCGTTATATTTTTTCAAGCTCACAAGAAAGTCAGGCGTGCATACAATATCTGAAGGGGAATGACCAGCACCACAAATTCTCACACAGCGTTTTAATTGCTTCGCAACTTGAACGATCTGAAAATTGCATAACATAAGCTATACTGTACGTACGTAGTGCGCTTCATTGATCAACAACTCTACATCAAATGAAGTATTAAATCTGTAAATTCAACATATATGGGGATAATTGTTGGCAAAAAATGCTGATTAACTGTTTTTACCTGTCTTATTTCTTGTGTAGACTCTGGTTCGAAGTAAAACTGAGGCGAGCATGAGAAAGTTTCCGACCAGTTTGTGAAATGAAAGCCGGTCTTTCCYCTTTGTAGGACRCTTAAAACTTCGTCAGCWACAGACTCCTCMCTCATTTCGACGGTCTACATTGCTGTATSAATTCCGATATGTGTCGTTGATAATTTAAATAGTTTTAATCACTTTAAAAAGTGAAGAAAACGGTGCAAAATGCCGCAATGTCAAGAACTCGTGTTATGTCACGTTGAAGTGTAGATCTAGTATATATACCACAGGAAGCCCAACGTTCCCTCCCAATGCTTTCTCTGGCTCGCAATCCTCTCATTCTTATAATTTTATAAATAACTGATAAATTGAAAAACTAAGAACCCTCTAAAGACTTTACTACTTTTCAAAATTAGTCAACAAAACAACTTTTAATTTAAAAATTAAAAAAAATAACTTTTAATAAATAACTTAAAAATAACTTTTAATYTAAAAATTATCTTTTATCAATTTATAGCTAATTGGGCTACCTTTGCTATCCGACAAAATGCCGCAAACGTATCAAACTATTTAAAAAWTTAACTAAATAGTGATCCACTAGTTTGAAATGGCGCTATATGACTTATCCGAAAAAAATGGTTTAAATAATTGAGCATTAGGAAATTTGAGGTTTGTTGCTGATGGAGATTGTGGGGAACTGACGTCAGACGAGTATTTCATATTGTTTGCGTTATTAGTATTTTTTTCGAAAGAGAGTCCACAGTACAAGAATGATTCAAAAACTCAAAGTATTACAGTAAATATATATAGTCAGGTGATTCTGTTGGTTGATATAAATCATCGGAAGATCTTCGGTACATTTCCGACGAGTCGCCGGAATACACTCGTTTTCTTCGTCACATCGGGAAGCCTCGGATAAAAATATTGTTCTCAAAATTGATCTTTCTGTGGTTTCAAATTTGTTTCCTGACAGTTTTAGGGCCTCTTTGGGTCTTCTCTTTCGTTCATTGGATGGTTCAAATATGGAGTTTCAGTTGACAACGTAGCAGAAGTGAAATCTTTACCTTAGTCAACAGATTTTTCTGTTTTGAAGACACTTTCTTCTCGTGGGCGTATATTTAGTTGTCCGCCATAATGAATCGACAGAATGGWGTATCACAGTCTTCACTAAAAACACCACGACTCGGTGTAGCACCTACACCCGGRCCAACTAATGCTGATTTGACTAGTATCTTTGAATGCCCTGTGTGCTTCGACTTTGTTCTYCCGCCAATTTTACAATGTTCAAGCGGACATCTTGTATGTTCAAATTGCAGACCGAAATTGACTTGTTGTCCTACCTGCCGTGGGCCTCTAGGCAGTATTCGAAACTTGGCAATGGAAAAGGTAGCCAGTACAGTCACTTTTCCCTGTAAATATGTCACAAGTGGATGTGAGGTTTCTTTGCCACATACAGAAAAGACAGAACACGAAGAGTCTTGTGAATTTCGTCCTTATTCGTGCCCTTGTCCTGGAGCCTCTTGTAAGTGGCAAGGCTCTTTGGAAGCTGTAATGCCCCATCTMATGCACACTCATAAGTCAATAACTACTCTCCAAGGAGAAGATATTGTATTTCTTGCTACTGATATCAATCTCCCAGGCGCTGTTGACTGGGTTATGATGCAATCATGTTTTGGGCACCATTTTATGCTTGTATTAGAAAAACAGGAAAAATTTGAAGGACATCAACAATTTTATGCYATTGTGCAGCTTATAGGTACTCGGAAGCAGGCAGAAAGTTTTATATACAGACTGGAATTGAATGGAAGCCGCCGTCGATTGGCATGGGAGGCAACCCCACGAAGTATTCATGAGGGAATTGCGTCTGCAATTTTAAACTCAGATTGCCTAGTTTTTGATGCAAATATTGCACATTTGTTTGCAGACAATGGAAATTTAGGAATAAATGTTACTATTTCAATGGTAAGTTAGTTAACCATATTTATCCCATCCACTTCCCATTTATCCCTTTTTCACAATAGTATGCTATTTGAGCTAAGATTGTTATTGTAAATACAAGAAAATACAAACATAGGCTTTCAATGGTGTTTCTTTTTGTAAACAGAAGCAGTAAAATATGATTATCGCATCCAAAACAATTGAGCAAATGTGTAAAATCAATHTTTTTACTGTCTTCAAGATTAAATGAGAGGTTGCCATGACAATCATCATTATGTATAGTTCATTGTGGTAGCCACTCATTTTTCTAAAACTTGCAATTCATAGGCACTAAAAATAGCTTATTATTGATCATTTTGATGATCAAAGTAGTCAAAACAATGTATATATTATATATAAGAGTGTTAAAGATAAATTTCAAGACAGCCAAAGATGTTATAGAACAGCAAGTTTATATTAAAGAGTATTTTTCRTGTCAGTTCATGTTTTGCGTAGATAATAATATATAATAACTGTGCATTGTTTAATAATTTGACAATGTGCAGTGACTAGTATTATTGTTTCAGACGTGGAAGCCAGTACTTCCTAAGTTGGAAATTTGTTTGGAGGTCCAATAAAATAACCCCTGTTTATATGCAGATATTCACAARAAATGTGGCCATTTGCTATTATTCAAAYTACAGAAACTCATCTAGCAGTTTAAATTTTATACAGCCAAGTAAACCAGAATAATTATTGATTGGTAGACATTGGCCAATCAAAAATAGGAATATATTTTGAAAAAAAAAACATTGAGAAATTGAAACACTTACARAGGCTACCTTATTCTTTTCAAGACAGGAAAAAGAGAGCCTTTGACAGAAGGAAGTGCCTTTAGCAAGTAGCTAGAGTACCCATTGTAGGGATTTTTAATTCAACCTAAAGTTAAAACCTTAAATAATAGGAGAATTTATTTTTCAAATTATTTGACATTTATATGTAACTTTTATACCAAATTTGAGTTCTTTGCTGGTCTGTTTACCAATGGTATATTAAATACAATCCCATCAATTGTGCATTGAAAGTTACTATTAATAAGAAAAGTAATCAGTAAAGAACAAAGGACAACAATTGATATTTAGAGTTATAGAGTAATCACACTTGAACCGTGCAACTGTACAACTAAATAGTGCTATTTAGTTGTATTTAGAAAATTGTGCATGCAGTGTGAAAATTAAATTGAATTCATACAAATGAAGCATTCAATACTGTCTTGCTTCAGGTCCACTTTTAGTACAAATTAGTACTACCTAGATTTTGTAAAGTTGCATGTTTTAAAATGCGATCACTCTACCTACTACTAAGAGTGCGAGCACTAAAACAGTGAAAAAGTACAAACCAAATAGTGCTAAATAACACAATATAGTGTAGATTAGAATACAAACACTAAAAACGTGCAACACTTTGCACTATTTACTCCATAAAAAATAGTGCTAATGAAACAATCAGAAAACAATAGAATTAGCATAATTTGGCAGTATTTAGTGGTATTTATGTTGCACAGTTTTAGTGTTTGTACTCTAGGAATTCACATAATTCAGTACAATTTAGCACCATTTATTTACAAAAATTTTTTCATAGTTTTAGTACTTGTACTCTATYAGTCTTGCTAATCTGTTAAGCTCAAACGAAAACTGTAAATCTCGGTGTGAATAAAAAGATGTGGTTATGGTTTAATAGTTCCTATTGACCATATCAAATTTTTATGAATATRCATATAGTATTTGAACTGTAGGCTAAAGAAAATATTTTTTAGCACTTCACTGGACTATGAAGTAATTTAACTACTCAACGAAGAGGTTTAAATTTTAAAGCTTTATGAATATTTGAAATATTAAAGTTTTGTCCCTAATGATAATAATTATTGATATCGCTATTACTAGACAATGTTTCCATTGTCACTGAACTGAAGGCTGAAGATATATGGTTGTTTTCTTTTTTCTTTTTTAAAAAAAACAGCTGAATGCATTCTGCCAAATTTTACCATATTAGTACTGGTATTATTAATATTATTAATACTATTAATGGTTWATCAGCATGGTTCCTGGTTTACCAGGAAATATATGGTGCTCATTTCATTGTCATTTTTTTTTTCATTCGCAGACAATGGACACAAGGTAATCATGTTACACTTTACAAGAATACAAGAAACAATTTATGTTAACCATATATAACCAATAACAATAATTATATAATTATTATATAATAAAAGTTAACAATGGTCTAGGTGTTATAAATGTCTTAGCATTCACAATATGCACTCAAACCCTTAATTGTACAATTAACATTAGTATATTAACATGCAAAATGAAAGATCATTTGCTTCATATATATTTATCATTGAAAATAAATTACAAATGCAGTTAATCCACATTTTTGTTTGACTTTGACTAATGTTAATGAAATTGCTTGTGTAATAATGGGAAAGGATGGAAGGTTTTGCAATTTTATAACCATATTAAAAGAAACATTCACTATTGAGGGATGTCCAATACTCTGTCAAATTTATGCAAACCAGTATTGTATTTTCTTGTATTGTATCCACATACAATAGATTTACAATACAAGACTTTTAAGAATGACACAATACAATAGAATGCGAAACAATGCCATGCATAAATTTGTCAGAATATTTGACAAGACTGATGCATGCAGGGAAAGGAGGAGTCCCTTTTTTTCTATGTATCATAAATTGGGCAGAAACTCGTTATACCTTTAATTAATTATTGTTCTCAGATCCAATTACTTAATTGGAAAGTAATTTAGTTAATACAGTATTTTGTAAGAAAAATAAAGAAAAGCAGTTTGACAATAAATTATATTATTTAGGCATTTTTAATAAAAATTTATTTAAAACTATGTGAAACTTGTTGGTGTGATTTTTATTGTTTTCTGGAGCCACAACCCCTATGATTTCAAGACCTTGGGATGATTTGTTGTGCTACCTTTTGAGAACAATGTGGCAGCCATAAATTACCACTTATACGTCAAATATGACGTAAATAATAGTTGACAATTAACTGTGCGCAAATACACTAATATGTAAAGCGCTATTTTTAGATGTGTGATGTCATTTGCATGCCCGCCCCAGACTCTCATGAACCGGAAAGAAAGCGCCGTCCATGTTAAACTGGAGCTTTGTTTTTCTATGCAAAAGGGCAACTGTTTTAAGCAGATTTAATCGCTTGATTGAGCTATAATACCGTCTGTCATTGATGTAGTAAATAGGCAAAGGTTTCCAAGTTTTTATTGTCACTTATTTGTCGTTTTTGATTGGTAAGTTACAGWWTATTCTTGCAATTTTAATAGCGATRCCGTCGCRTCACTAAAGCTGCAAAATKTACAAGAAGCACACTTAATAATGGCTCAGAAATTGAARTTTAAAATTCAGATATACATCTTATCGTATATATGTATATAAGCTTATATGTATTCGTTTATTGCAGWTATTCGTTTGTTGATTAAAGTCTTGATCAGCAATGTCATAGTTCATACGAAAGTTGGCCATGTCATCTGATATCAAGCCAAAGTCTCCCAAGAAGAAGGCGTAAGTTTTAATCATTTGAAATAACCACAAATGACGTTTAAGCAGTGATTTGGTTGTCGCAAATTGCATCTAGAAATGTTGACTGGCCTGGCCCACGTCCTTAGTTTTTCTCTCCCCCTTTCCCTGCCTCCTACAATACACCCTCCCCCCTCCCCTCTCAAGTGGCCTCTGGGTATAAGAAGCATTGTTGTGTTTAGGGACTTAAAAGTTGTAATCTTGGGAGAATCAAATGTGGGCAAAACATCACTTATCCAGCGTTACATTGAAAGAGTGTTCGAAGAGGATCCACAGAGTGTAAGTTATACTAAAATATATTGCATGTGGCATACTAAAAAAGAATTAAAACATGATATGTAATAATTCAGAAGCCAAATGATTATTATTATAGATAGATTAAATAGATAGATTAAATGTATTGATGCTGTTTTTTTTAGAGTGAATTTTCTTAACTTTTTTTAAAAATGATTATATAATATTATTCTTTAGACGATCGGAGCATCATTCTTTCTTAAACAATGGGGGCCGTACAATGTAGCTATATGGGTAAGCATAGACTAAATATACAGCCTTTTGCACAAATTATGAGACATTTTTATATATATAAATATACCTAACCAAATATCAAAAACACCCAAGAAATTATGGGATACCGTCGCTGATATTTTGTCTGTAACAACCTGATGCTAGGCAATCATGACAAAATATCAGCGACGGTATCCCATAATTTCTTGGGTGTTTTTGATATTTGGTTAGGTATATTTATATATATATAAATGTCTCATAATTTGTGCAAAAGGCTGTACAAACTCAAGTATTTATTATATAATATCTTTGAGACATTGTTGAAGGGTTGATGGAAATATTTCTTCATATGCATTGTGCACTGCTTCAAGATTAAGCAAGTAGAAAGTCGGCATTCAGTGTCAACAAGTCTAATATTCTCCTTCACAGTTACCTGTGCCATCTTCAAGGATAGCCACGCCTTTACATCGGAGTGAGACAACCATTGAGCGTGCAATAATACCTGTGAATAATTGTCTGTAGGTGTGTAAGAAGGTTTGTATCTTTGCACGCTCAACGGTTGTCTCACTTCAAAGCTACCTTTCAAGATGACACAGAAGACCGTGAAGAAGACTGTTGAAGCTAGAAGATGTTTTTCCTTCTCAGTAATGAGGGTGTTTATGGTTATGTTGTAGGATACTGCTGGGGAGGAGAAGTATTCCAGCCTGTCATCTTTCTACTGCCGAGGGGCTTCAGCAGCTATTGTATGCTATGACATCACCAAGGCATCATCACTCACCACCCTGCACAACAGACATTTACACCTGCTACAATCTGCAGAACCAAACTGTCTTATAGTCATTGTAGGGACCAAGAAAGACCTTATTGCTTCAGAAAGCAGGGCTGTTAGCGAACAAGCAGGCAAAGAACTTGCTGAACAACAAAATGCAAACAAGACTAGACCACTTACAAGCTTAACTCAGGTTCCTTTCTTTGAAACTAGTTCAAAAACTGGAGAAAATGTAGACAATGTTTTTGATTTTATCTTACAAAGTTGTCTTCCTCTGAATGACAGTGCAATGGCCGACATGTACACTAGAAAGAATACTGGAGTTGACTTAGATAAAAAAACATCTTCTAGGGATTCTACACAAGGAAAGTGCTGTGGTAGCTGATTTAAAAAAAATGAATGAATTTACAATTAATTAATTTGAATTTCAATCTCCCTGTCACATTTATGTCTTATACCAATAATTTTGTTTTAATAAATACAAGATTTATTATATTAATTTGCTTTTAGCTCAATATATTAGCTAAGGATATTTGGTTGGGCCTCAAGAACAGTTTTTGAAAGTTGCATTTCCTTGTTCAACACATTTATATAAAAATTCATCCTAGATAGAGTGAGAAATTTTGGTA